GCTAGTATCCTGGCTGCTTGTCTACTAGGTGGCTCGTGTCTTCGGCGGTTTTATCGTAAGCCGCGATTCTCCTAGGCGGCTGGACTCCTAGGATGCTTGTATCTAAGGATTCTGGTCTAACAGGCTGGTCGTCTCCTAGGATGCTTGTCTCCTCGGCTGGCGTTGTCGTCGCCGCCGCCGCCGCCGCCGCCGCCGCCGCCGCCGGGTGATTCGGCTCCCGAAGCGCGCTGGAAGGCCATCGCGCTGACGGGTCCGTCGTGCGCACGGGTGCTCCAGAGGGGTGAGTCGTCGGAGGAGCGCAGGTCGAAGATGCACGCGCTGCCGTCGGCGGCGCCGCACGCGAGGTGGAGCCCGTCGGGCGCAAAGGCGAGGGAGGTGAACCTGCGTGGCGAAGGGTCCTAGAAGGTTCCTAGAAGGTTCCTAGGAGGTTCCTAGGAGGGAGGTGAACCTGCGTGGCGAAGGGTCCTAGAAGGCTCCTAGGAGGTTCCTAGGAGGGAGGTGAACCTGCGTGGCGAAGGGTCCTAGAAGGCTCCTAGAAGGTTCCTAGGAGGGAGGTGAACCTGCGTGGCGAAGGGTCCTAGAAGGTTCCTAGAAGGTTCCTAGGAGGGAGGTGAACCTGCGTGGTGGTGCAGACGCCGACCTCGGGGCGGGAGGGCGGGACCGTGTGCCGTGTCTTTGCAGCGCCGTGTGAATGCAAGGGGGGGGATACGAACACAGCGAGTCCAGCTCGCTACGGCTGAGTACAGAGGGAGTACGTGCCCTCTCGAGCGCTGCTTGGACGTTTCGAGGCGCGCGGCCGCACAGAGAGCGGCCGCGCGTCGGGACGGGCGGACCTCGCTCTCCCGGGGGAGAGGAGAGGCACCGCGCACGCCGTGGGGTCGCGAGGCAGAACGGGGCACGCGTCCGCCGGAGGTCTAGTCGTGGCCCGAGCGCCCGTGGTCTCCCGTGATCTCCCGTGATCTCCCGTGATCTCCCGTGGTCTGCCTCTAGGGCGGCGAACGATTGGTCGGAGCAGAGTGTCCGCACGACGGCGAGGCGGGTCGTGTCGTAGAAGACGATGCTTCCGTCTGCGGCGGCGGACACCAGCAAGTGGTGGTTGACAGCCGACCACGCGACGCCGCAGCAGGCCGCGCTGTGCGCCTCAAACTTGTGCAGCTGAACTGCACGCGGTAAGCCTGAGGTAGAGGTAGTGGAGACCCTGTAAGCTCTCAAGGCCGACCCATCTTCCTCTCGCACAGGGCCAGTTCAATCCCCGAGAGGAGAGGCAGAGTCTCGTCTGGCGCGGGGAGACCCCCCGTAAGCTCTCAAGGCCGACCTCCCATCTTCCTCTCTAGTGGTAGAGGGTCGACTTCTCCACACGCACAGCGAAGGTTGTGGGGCGACGGCCGGGCTATCCCTCGCGACTCCACGTCTTGCAGACCGGAGCGCACGGCATTCAAAGTGCGAGGCCCGGTGCGCGTGGGTGAGCGGTGTGTGTGTGTGTGTGTGTGTGTGTGCGTGCGTGCGTGCGTGCGTGCGTGTGTGTGTGTGTGTGTGTGTGTGTGTGTGTGTGTGTGTGTGTGTGTGTGCTTGTGCGTGTGCTTGTGCGTGTGAATGTGGCAAGCCTGCGGCTCCAGCAGCGTGCGAGCCGCCACGCAGCGGCGCCGCCGTCTCCCAGAGCGAGACGACGCCGTCCTCCGACCCCGTCGCCAGCTTCGTCGGGTGGAAAGGCGACCAATGCAGCCCGCGCACTGCGTGATCGCCGCGCGCGCCCGGCGGCGCCGTATCCGCGCGGCAAACCGCAGCGACGGAGCCCTGCACGCGGTGGACGATCACGTCGCCGGCGGTGGAGGCGGAGGCGACGTGGACCTCGGACGGGCTCCACGAGAGCGCGCACACGCCCGCGCGGTGGCCACGCAGCGTGAGCGCGTGCTCGCGCTTCTGCAGGTCAAAGATACGGACCAGCGCGTCCGCGGAGCCCGAGGCAAGGTAGCGCGAGGCGGGGCTCCACGTCACGGAGAGCACCGGCGCGGGGCCGTCGGGGCCGCGCGCCTGCGGCCGCAGCGTATCGAAGAGCGAGCCGTCCCGCTCGGAGAGGACAACGGACCCGTCGTGGGAACTGCTCGCGAGGACACGGTCGTTGGCGGTCCAGCGGAGCGCACTGACCTGCGCGGCGTGCGGCGAGAAGCGGCGCCGCGCCACCGCGCCACCGTCCCACAGCGCCACGCCGTCGTCGCCAGCGGTGGCGAGCAGTGGAGGCATGTGAGCGTTGCGCGGTGGGGCCTCGCCAGCCTCGCAAGCGAGCGCGGTAAAATCTTGCCTTTTTTTGCGCCGGCACCTTTTGCGTTGGGTGTCAGTCACTGATCTGAGTTGTGAGGTGTGGTCCATGTAGTCATGGGATGGTCATGGGTCTCTCTCTCAACCCTCCCGTCCCACCTCTGCGGATCCCTCTCTAGCACCGGCGGCTGTGCTACTACAAATGAAGCTACCAGCTAGCCTTCTGGGGCCCTACAGTCATATGCCTACGGCGTCTGGGTGGGGGTGGCCGCCGCCGTCTGTGCCGCCGCCGCCGCCGCCTGCGCCTGCGCCGCCATATGCGCTCCCCAGGCGGCCGCCGCCGCCGGCGTGATCACGCCGTAGGAGCGTGCAGGCAATCACGGGTGCTATTTTGTCGTACTCCTCTTCGGCGAGCGCCCCAAATCTAGACCCTTTCGCCTTTAAGGAGGCTGCCCTCGCTCGTCTCAGGAATGTGGCGGTGTCTTTTGAGTCCGGCGCCTCCCGTTGAACTCTTGCTGTCGCCCTCGCTGTGTGTTTATCGAGCTTCCGCATGAAGTGACGCGCCTCTTCCTTATTTCCAGCGCAGCTGCCGCTCAGTATGTGCGCCAACGACGCCTGTGGTGGCTCACTGTCTTCTTGTTTCCAGTCGTCCCAGTCTTTCAGTGAGCTAAATAAATAAATAGAGCAGTCATCTCCAGGGAGAGATGGGCGACGCACACGAACACAGAGGGACAGTGCGCACCCCGCCCCGCTCGCAGGGCGTGCATCACACAGGTGGACTGTGTGACTCCTCGGGTTTCTGGGACTCAGAGGTGTGCTAGTCGCTATTCTCCGACAATTCCGACATATCTGACGGGCAGTTCGGGCTCGAGCGGTCGCGGTCGCGGCCAGCGCGTGAGGCCTGGCTAGGGTTGCCGGGCGAGAGCTCGACCCACGCGCCGGAGCGCGCGTGGTGCTTGAGCAGCCGGGCGGTCGCCGCAGCCACCTCGAAGGGTAGCTCGTCGAGCCACTCGCCGAATGTGCCCTCGTCCTGCGCCGCAGCGAGGAATTGCTCACCTAAGCCGTACGCGCGGCAGGCCCGGTAGAGCGCCTCGTTCTGGATCTCCTCCGGCGCCTCGGAGTCGTAGCCGCAAACGGAGGAGCCGGCAGAAGAGGCCCGCTTCGCAGGCGGCGCGTCAGGCGATGAGGAGCGCGAACGCCGCGGCGGCTCAGACACAATCTTGGGCCGTGAAAAATTCTTTGTTCTACGCGCCCCCTCCTTTACGACGAGCGCTCCCATGCCTGGCCGACCAAAATCTGGTTCGGCCGCCTCCCGGCGCGGACGCGCTTCAACGGCGGCACAGGCTGCGTCGCTCGCGCTGCCGAAAAAGATCCAAGCCGCGGCGGAGGACGGCAAGGCGGGCGTGGTGCAGACGTGGCTCGCCGGGGACGGGCGGGTTGACGCAACGTGCGTGCGCGGTGGTCTGAGTGGCTGTACGCTCCTGCTGATCGCCGCCGGACATGGTCACAAGCAGCTGGTCGAACTTCTGCTGAAGCTGGGCGCGAAGCTGGACGCGCAAACTTGCAGCGGCACTACGGCGCTGATGGCCGCCGCCGGCTCGGGCCACTGCAGATGGTCGAGAAGCTGCTGCGGCACGGGGCGGAGATCAACCAGCAGAACAGCGCTGGCCACACCGCGCTGATGTTCAACATTCAAGCTGCCGACCAAGACCACGAGCGCGTGGTCGACTTGCTGATACGGCACGGCGCGGAGATCAACCTTCAAGCTGGCGACGGCCACACTGCGCTCACGAGCGCCGCCTACTACGGCCGCCCTGCCGTCGTGCTCCAGTTGCTGCGGGCGGGCGCAGACATGGCGCTGCGCACTGCGGACGGCGAGACGGCGCTGCAGATCGCCAAGGAGAAGGGCCACACCGAGTGCGTCGCCGCCGTCAAGACGTATCTCGGCGAGGTGGCGGCGGAGAGGCGCGAGGCGGCGGCGGTCGAGGCGGGCGGCGCGGGGGCAGGCAGCGCTTCGGGCGGCAGCAGCGGGCCTGTTCCCGAGGAGATCGGCGAGGCGGGCGGCGCGGGGGCGGACGGCGATGCCGCCTCGGGCAAGGGGGCGGCGGCGGCACCAACTGCCGCGCCCTTCTCTGGCGGCGTGGAGAGCGGAACGGGCGAGGACGCCGTCCCCGAGGAGATCGTGGATGCGGCTGTGCAAGGCGACGAGGCGGCGGTGCTGGCGTGGCTCGACGGCGGCGGGCGGGTCGATGCGACTTTCACTCGTAAGGGTGAGAGCTTTACGCTGCTGATGTACGCCGCCTTCTACGGCCACAAGCGGCTCGCCGTGGCGCTGCTGCAGCGTGGCGCTTCGATCAACCTGCAGAGCAACAAAGGCAGCACCGCGCTGATGTACGCCGCCTTCAGCGGCCACGAGCGGGTGGTCGAGCTGCTGGTGCGGGGCGGGGCGGAGATCGACCAGCAGGACAATGCCGGCTATACCGCGCTGATGTTCGCCGCTTTGTTCAAGGACCACCCCGCGGCCCTGCTCTGCCTGCTGCGGGCGGGCGCCGACACGGAGCTGCATATGGCGGCTGGCTGCACAGCGCTGCAGATTGCCAAGGGTCACGGCAGCGCCAAGTGCGTGCGCGCCTTTGGGGAGCATGCGGCGGCCGTGGCAGCGGCCGAGGCGGCGGCCGAGGCGGTGGCGAAGGAGGCGGCGTGGGCTGCGGAGGCGGCGGAGAGGGCGGCGGAGCGGGCGGCGGCGGAGGCGGAGGCGGCGCGGCATGCCGAGGAGCTGTTGGCGGAGGTCGAGGCGGAGAAGCGCGGCAAGGGCAAGAAGGGCAAGAAGAAGAAGAAGGCCGGCGGGAGCGGCGGCGCTGGGCCGTCGCAGGAGCCCGAGGCGGCGGCGGAGGGTGCAGAGGCGCCATCAGAGGGTGCCGAGGTGCTGTCGGAGGCAGCCGCAGCCGAGGCCGCAAAGAAGGAGGAGGCGAGATTGATCAGGCTTCTCGAAAGTTGTCACGAGGAGAGGATCCGGCTCGGCATCACGGCGGAGAGCCAGGCAGCGGCTTTAGCTGAGATGGTCGAGGCGGAGCGCTTGGCCGAGGAGGCGGAGGAAGAGGAGGAGGAGGCAGAGGCGGAGGAGGAGGAAGCCGCGGCCGAGGAGGAAGCCGCGGCCGCGGCACTTGCGGCAGCTGAGGCGGCGATGGCCGCCGCAAAGGCGAGGCGCGCGGCCGCTGCGAGGGCCAAGGCGGCCGCTGCAAGGAAGGCGGCGGACGCGGCCCAGCGCTCATAGAGAGCCGCTGAGAGGAGGACATGACGCGCGCATCTGGCACCGCGCCCGTGAGCCGCACCAATTCGCTCTCACCTGGCATCAACCATGTCTGGACCGCGCGCGCCCCCCTAGCTAAGCCGCGGCGGTCTGTGTGACTTCTCTTTGACTGGGTTCCATTGAGCATTTTGGCGCTCGTTGGCTAGGGGTTTGAATCGATTTGTGGCGGCGTGTCCGATCCGCGGGCCGAGCGCAACGAAATAAACAGAACGTACTGAGCCCTGGTCTGACAGCCTGACAGCAAACCCCGGACAGCGCCTCGCTGACACCAGACAGTGGTCAGTGCCCGAGAGCGCCCGACAGCCTGACAGCGCTGACAGCACTTTCTCTGACAGTCTGACAGCACGTATCTGTAATCTGACAGCCTGACAGCAGAGTCTGACAGTCGAGCAGGTGCTCCGTCGCTGTCAGGCCCTAACATTGACAGCCTGACAGCTGCCCGACAGCCCGACAGCACATATAACAAAACTATTACATGCAAAAAGACATGTGAGGTGTGGTCCATGTAGTCATGGGTGGGGCGGCTCGCCGGCGAGCGCGGTAAAACTGGGTTTATCTTTGCGCCAGCGACCTTTGCGTTGGGTGTCTGGAGCGGCCGCACACTGCTCGGTACCCCCCCTGCACATCTAAAGCCATGGCCGACCCCCCCCCCCAGCAGCAGCGCTCTGCTGCTGGGGCGGTCGGGACCCCCCCCCAGCAGCAACGCTCTGCTGCTGGGGGTCCCCCCCCCCCCCCCGCAGCAGCGCTCTGCCTGTGGGGGGTGCTGGCATCTCTGTACAGACAGCAGCTTTTATGGTCGACACCAAAATCAGTGGTCTCACCCCGGCGGGCCCTCCTACTGCCAACCGGGCTCGAAGGCGCGGTGAACACAACCGCCTCGAGCGTACGCTCAAACACGAGCCGAGGGTGGAGGGGGCTCAAGGGGCACGGGAAACACCCAGAAAAAGATCGGCCACACACCGAGCTCAAGCTCTCTCACATCCACCTTCACGGACCAAGCTCTCTCTATCTCTCTTCCGTCTCTCCCTCCCTCCCTCTCTCTTTTCCAGGTATGTAAGTATGTAGTAGAAAGATGAACAACAGTCAGGCTCGGACTGGACACCAACGCGGTATGGGTGGACGCGGGACAGATGATGACGACACGCACGAACGACACACAGACACAAACAAGCTCACAAGACATTTTCCACCCCCTCAGAAAAAGAAAACACGGCAACCAAGTCGGTCTTGACACTTCGCCGCCCCCCCCATTCGACCTCATCTGCCGCCCTGGCCTCCTGGCCTCCTCCGCCGTCGCCGCTGCCGACCCCGCCGCCTCCGCCGTCGTCGCCACACCCCACTGACAAATGCAGGGCTGTCAGGCCTGCGCGCTTGAGCGCCGCTTCGGCTCGCCGCTCCATTGCCCCGGCTGCAGGCGACTCTTGGCTGCTGCGAACGGCGATTCGCTCTCTCCGCACCGCGAGACCCGGCCAGCGACTTTCCTCACTGGCCTCTGCGACGGCCACGGCTACGCACGTGCCATACAGATTCAGCTCCAGCCCGCTGCCGCTGCGCCGCTGCTGGAGAAGCTTGAGCTCTTCAGGAATAAAATCCAGCTCTGGTTGCACGGTGCGATGCACGTCTACTTGTCGGGCGAGACCGAGGTATTGGTGCTGATCACGTTTGACGTGGCTGCCGACGCAGCCGACCTCGAAAAGGAGAAGGTCATCAGCCGAGCCTGGAACCGGCTCTCCTACCTGTTTGCCGCTCCTCCCAACGTGCTCGGCTCGGGTCCCATCTTGTGGTGCGCCTCCACACCCCAGGGCAGCTGCACACACACAGGGCACAACACAGCGACGCTGTCACTGTTCCTCAGCTTACCCGGCGCCGTGCCCTCTAGGAGCTTCGGCGAAGACCCCGGCCGGCGCGCGCCAGCGCGGATCCGCGTCGAGGTGCGGGCGTATCTTCTCACCGTCACACGGCCACTCAATCCTGTTCATACCGTATTCGACTCATATCTGTTGAACATCTGGACTCGAGCATTCGATGTTCTATGGATGTTCTATGGATGACGATGCTCTATGGATGACGAGCGTGCGCGAGGTCCCTCAGTCTTCCTCCGCCTCCCAGCGCCTCTCCACACCCCCCACACACACCTGCTCTGATGACACTTCCCCCTCCTCGCCTCCGAGCTCCGTCGCCACGCCCTCTGCGTGTCTCACGCCTCAGCGCGCAACACGCAGACGCTCCTCACGGCGGCCGGCCGCTCCCTCACTGCCGAGGCCGAGCGATCCGCCCTCGCCGCCGCCTCCGCCTCGGTCGCCTCGCTGCTCGCGCTGGACGGCCTTACCAGCGTGCGCGTTTGCCGGGCGGGGCGGGGCTACCTCCTCGTGGCTGGGTTTGAGTCGCCGCAGGCTGAGGCGGCGGCTGCCGCCTCAGCCGCGTGGCGCGCCTTTGGCGGTCTCGCGGCCGGCACGGCACGCCGCCCGCACTCTGGGAAGTTGGTCTGGTCGGGGGGGTGGTCAGCGTACACGACCGAGCGGATCGGGCACGCCGCGCCGCCGCCCAGCCACGCCGGCGGCGGCTGGCTCTCGCTGCGCGGGAGAGTGTGCGGCGTGTCCTCGGCCTTTTGTGCGGGTTGCCGGCAGCTAGTCGCCGGCCGCCGGCTTCAGCTGCTCGCCTGTTTGCGCTCCTGCGTTGCGACAGACGCTAGGACCGACGCGCTCATATTCGTTGTGGTGGCGTGCGTGGTCACCGCGTCGGCGCAGGTGACGCATCGGCGGCTGGGCACTAGGCGGCTGGCCCTGGCGATCCACGGGCTGCTGCGGCGGTAGCGCGGCTCGCAGCATGGGCCCGCGCGACAGCACAAGCCGGTCATTAAGTGGGTAGGAACTCTATTTGTAGAACACCCAGCTGCGCTTGTACCACGTACCAGGTAGCATGTTCGGCATGTGAGTGTTTGTTTTTGGTGGCGTTGACAAAAGTTGCATATGATACAAAACACGCTCTGTCCTCTCTGATAGAGCTCTGCACATTTTCATTTCACGCATTTGAGAAAAAAATGTATTTTGTACATTGTACTTTACTCTCTAGCCAAAAACCGGCTCGATTCGAGAGAGGGATGGGTTGAAATCAAGCCGAAAGCCGCGAGCTCTCTCTCGCGAGTGATGGGACTCACAGAAGTCAGAACCCGTCAGCAGTGTCTTGCATGCTGCTTGGTGGCTATGGCAGTGGTGTACAGTGACTCCTCGAGCTCCTTTTGCGCAAACTCGTCCTGTGCGATGCATGCTTCGCCCCACACGTCATCAAGCATGGACTCGTCAGGAAAGTTGGAGAGGAGCGCGCGCGAGGGCCGGTGTTTGAGCGCCTCCGCCTGCCACGTAGAGCTCTGGCAAGCCGTCTGAAAGTAGCCGTCTGAGATGATGTCGCCCGTGGAGGGTCGACACACAGCTCGCTCTTCCAGCATCCACAGCAGCAGACGGGTAAGATCGTCGGACCATTCCCCGACAATCTCTGCGTGCCTCGCATGCACGATATTTCGCAGGATCTCTGGCACGTCGGGGCCGCTGAAGGCGTGGCCGAGCATCATCATCTCAAAGAGGGTCACGCCCAAGCTCCAGATATCGACGCTCTTGGAGTAGGGCTGGCCCATGTGAACCTCGGGCGCGATGTAGAGGGGCGAGCCGCACTGCGTGTGCGGCTGAGCGCCGGTGACGCCGGTGACGACCTCTTTCGACAGGCCGAGGTCGCCCAGCTTTGCCGCGCCTCGGGAGATGAAGATGTTCTGTGGCTTGATGTCGCGGTGAAGGACCTTGAGGGTATGCAGCAGGTCGAGGGCGGAGACGAGCTCGCACAGCCAGCGCTGCACAACCCTCTCGCTGAACTGCACGCCGGTCTGCCTCTGGCTCGCGATGAGCTGCGCGAGGTCCCCCTGTTCGCAGTGCTCCATGATGATGAAGAGGTGCATCCCATCCTGGAAGGACTGCGGAGCATGATAGGTGTGAGCGTGACATCTGACGGGAACGAGCTTCCGCCGCGCCACAGTTACCTGCCGGAAGCGCACGAGGTGGGGGTGGTTGTAGCGGCCCAGGACCTCCATGTTTGCAATCTCTCGCCGCAGCGCGACCGCCTCAGAAGAGGAGAGGTGCGAGTACGGCTGCACTTTCGCCACGAGCGCGAGCTCACCACGCCTACGCACCAGGCGACTGGGGCGAGCTGTGGGGCGAGGGTGGTGACTGCTAGGTGTCAGCCAGAGGGGCGCGGCCTCACGACAAAGGCCTTGCCAAATTCGCCGCTGCCAAGTTGGCCAGTGAGCTTATAACCCTGCTGCTGCAACTTGGTTTGGAACGACGCGGGCACGTCCTCGCAACGAGGCATTGCGCGCGCCTTCTCGCCGCCCCTCTCTGCCACCTGCCGCGTCCCGCCCGAGCCTGCCCGTCGCGGCAACGGACCTACAAACGCTTGATGCTGGTCAAACCGGTCACGCGACTTTTACTTGTCCCCCCAAGTTCTCGGCGACCAGAGGCAGGGAGACAAGTTTGTTCATAATTCGAAATCCAAGAAACGACACTTCTCACTGGCTCTCGCATCCTCGCTTGAGCTACGGTACCTCGTGTACCCTGTCAGCTCCCTCAGGCATCGTCGTTCTCGCACACCGCCACCCCGTCGATTTCTTTTTACGCTTCTCTCCTTCGCAAGGAGTTTTGTTGTAAAATTCTCTCCTTCGGCTTGCCGCGCGGTTGTGCTTGCCTGTGGCAGGGGCGGGCGGGTGCACGGAGAAGTGCCTCGCCGTCCTCGCAGGAGTCGTGTCGCGGGGGAAGGTAGGATTCCTAATTGCACCAAGGCCAACACCGACCGCCCGGCCGGCGCCTTGGCAGAGGGCCAATAACGTCCCCCGCGGCGGCTCCCGTAGTGTACCTGTGTACCGTGAGACTGTATCCGGGGCGCGCGTTTTGATTCTGCTTTTTTTTGCTTCGCGCCGGCCGAGTTCTCTGACTGACTCGCTCGTGGGCTGGCACGGCCTGTTTAGCCGCGCTTCTCCCGCGCGCGCGCTACTCGCTCGTGGCCGCGCGCCATGCCCTGACCCTCCCCAAGCTGCTGCGAGCCCGGAGAGCCTAAAACTGAGCGCGTCGGCACTGGCGTCGCTTCGGCGCAGCAGACCCCTAGACGGCAAGGACCCGAACCCACAGGCAGTTTTCCGCGAAGTGTCTTGCGACGCCGCGCCAACAACCATAACACACGCGCCTACAACCCATGAAGGTGATCATCCTCACCACGTCAGCCGATAAGATGGGCGACCACCCCACCGGCGCTTGGAGCGAAGAGATCACCGGTCCTTACTATGCGTTCGTCGACGCGGGTGCCGACGTTACCATCGCGTCAGTTTCTGGAGGGCCTGTTCCGATTGACGCCGGAAGCCTCTCTGACGCCTTCAAAACGGAGAATGACAAGCGGTTCGAGTCCTCTGGCGACATCTCTAAGCTCGAGACCTCGGTGCCGCTTTCCTCCGTCGAGGTCGGCGAACTTGACATCCTGTTCCTCGCGGGCGGGCATGGCACGTGCGCGGACTTTGCCGATGGCGCTGTGCCCAAGCTGGTGACAGACGCCTACGCCGCTGGCAAGGTGGTTGGCGCCGTGTGCCACGGGCCGACGGGCCTCGTCAACGCCAAAGATGGCGACAAGCCGCTGGTCGCCGGCAAGAAGATTGCCGCTTTCTCGGACGTCGAGGTGGGAGCCGGCGCTTCCAGCGCCGCGGCTCACAGCACCCCTGAGGCTTCCTCGGCCCCGCTGCCGCAGGAGGGCCAGGTGCAACTCACCGAGAAGGTGCCGTTTCTGCTCGAGGCCAAGATGAAGGAATTGGGCGCCGAGTACGTGCCGTCGGAACCCTGGTCAGAGAATGCTATCGCGGACGGCAAGCTCGTGACCGGCCAGAACCCGCAGTCGTCGGTCAAGTGCGCAAAGCTGTGCCTGGAGGCGGCGAAGTAAGCACAGCTCCCGGATTGTTGATAGAGCGTGCTCTGTGTACGGTCGTGCCCGCGAGAGAGATACGTAAGTGGGGCAGAGACGAAAAGGCCGCGCGTCCGCACGCGCGCGGCGCGCGCAGACCCGGTGCCGGCCCGCAAACCATGTGTACGTATTGCATGCGCCTCTGAGACGCCTTTTGTTTTTGTTTTGTTATTTGTGTGTTTAAACCCTATCCGCGTGCCACCGCGGCACCCGGTCCAACCCTCCACGAGCCACGCGTGCCACGAAGAGCGCCAGTGCGCGGAGACACTACATGGCGCAACTGAGAACTGTAAGAGTTAAGAGAGTGAGAGAGAGAAGGGAGAAACAGATCGTCTCTGCCCAGCCCCTTGGAGTGTGAAGGCTTCGCAGCCCTCCGGTCTACTAGCCGCGACCTCCACCGCTCCTCGCTCCACAGACTCGCCTAGCACCCGGTGAGGCGCGGAATGAGGTGCAGCATCGACTCGCGCTGGATGTTGTAGTCGGAGAGCGTGCGGCCATCCTCGAGCTGCGCCCCGCCGAAGACCAGGCGCTGCTGGTCGGGTGGGACGCCCTCCATGTCCTGGATCTTCGCCTTGACGTTGTCGACCGAGTCGGACGGCTCGACCTCGAGCGTGATTGTCTTGCCGGTCAGATCCTTGACGAAGATCTGCACGCCGGACGCACGCACGCGCCGCGGCGGCGGCGCGACCGCGGGCGGCGCGTCGGCCTGGCGGCGGCGCCCGGAGGGCCAGCCCGTGAGAGGCGACCCGAAATCGGCGCGGAAGAGGGCGACGGTGCGGCGAAGGCGAGCGTCACGGGCGGCGGCATCGTCACCGCCGTGCGGGTCGTGGTGGATGAACCCGCCGGCGCCGAGCATCGCCTCGCAGGCCGCCGTGTAGGCGCGGGTGTCGAGAATGTGCGCGTGCCACACCTCGTCGACGCGTGGTGAGGGAGACAGGAGCACGGCGTCAAAGTCAGAGGTGGCCGCCTTGAGCGCGAGAAACTTCTTGTAGTCCTCGAGAAGCGCCGCTGATGCGCCGGCGTCGCGCGCGAGGGCGGTGAAGTCGATGGAGCCGAGGCGCGCGAGGGCTGTGGGCGCGTCCATGTTGAGCAAGGGACCGAGCAGCGAGTTGGAGTGTTGGTCTCGCCCGCAAGTTGGAGTTGGTCGCTCGGTTTTTCTTTCAGCGGCGCTTCGCAGGTCGACCAACAGAGCAAATGGATGGCGTGGGAGACCACGGCATTTCTCACCAAGCTCGGGCTCGAGCAGCGCGTGCAGGCCGTAGAGGCGCCGGCCGTCGTCCCACGCACCCCAGCCAGCTACTTCCCGTGTGCGTGTCCCCCACCCACGCGCAGAGACGCACACCTGTCGCACGTTTCTGGCCACTGCACGGGCCTTTGGCCCGCACGTGCAGCCGACGGCACCTCTCCGTTCACCGACCCCTCTCTCGCCGCGGCGCCGCGGGGCGTTATAGCTGGGCCCTGGGGCCGTCGACTCTAGCAGCGGCGATTCTCTCTCGGCGGAGCGCGTCCGCCCGCCGACCACGCCAAGCTGGTGCTCAGCGAGCTCTTCAACGCGGGGCTGTCGACGGCGCCCCTCTCGGTGAGCGGTGAGCCTCCGCTGCGACGCGAGCAGCGGAAGACCCCGCAGGCGGATCGCTCCCTACGACCAGTTTTCCCTTCTCTTCTTAACCAAAGCTCATCTCCCCTCGCCGCACACCGCGCCAGCTGCGGAACAATTCGAGGCTGGCACGATCTCCAGTGCAATCCGGTAGAGGTGGACCATCTGCCGAATCACTTGGCTCTCCTGCAGGCCCTCTCTCTGGTTGTTGACCTGGGACCAATAGCTCTTGCACGCGTCTTCCTCGCTCCGCGCTTGCGTTCGCCTGCCGTGCGCATGCACGGTCCCGTTGGCCAGGAAGCCTCTCAAGTTGGGCGCCAGGCGCCGGACCGCCTCGATGAAACCCTCGAACTGCTCGGTGACACCGACCAGAGCAAAGCTATACCGAAGGTTGTACGCCGCCTGAGCCTCGAGCGCCTGCACCGAGGCGCCGGCGAGGAAGCGGGCCTCGCAGTCCACGCCGCACAGCCGCAGTGTCACCGCGTCGGAGATGGAGGCGCCGTCGCTCCGCGGCTTCCCTGCCCACATGTCGACCTGGCGCGGGTCGGTGCACGAGTAGTTCCGCCTGTGGTAGCCGAAAAAGTAGAAGATGCTCGCGAGGTGCGTCCACGGGCTGCGGAGCATGGTGATCCGAGCGACAGCCTGCCTCCCGAGGGCCTCGTACAGCGGGCCCCAGTTTCTCTCCAGGTCGCCGCTCCATCGCGAGTTTTGCCGCGCGAGGAGCGTGCTGACAGCGGGCGAGGCGGCGCTGCGCCTCATTCTTTGTGGCCAATGCTCGGGTGGGGAGAGGGCCGTGAAGCCCCGCCGTTCGCGCACCTTATCAAAGACATCTGGGCCTCCGACGTCGCTCCCATTGAGACGCAGAGGCTGCGCCGCCAACGCCCTCTCATCAAAGAGGGCGTAGCCGCTCGCGAGCACAGGGAGGACGGCCTCCACCCCTCTGAAGTCGGTGGGAAGGCGGGGCGGCGCCAGCGCTGTGGCGTGGGCATCGGCGAGCTGAATCAGACCGGGCGTCTTCGCTCCAAGCCAGCTCAGCTCGCTGCCTACCCTATAGTGACCCATGTGCACGATAGGGATCGGAGGCGGCGAGGCGTTGACGAGGGCGCTCTCCATCGCGTCAGCTGTTGCTCGAAGCCGGCATGCGCCCAGCACCGCCAGCGGCGAGAGAGCAGGGCAGACGATGTGTGGCTCGAATGTCCGCTCGGGAGTCGCGACCATTCGATGTCGGTTTGAGTTCCCCACCGTAACCCCGCCCTCGTTGAGGCAGCCTGTCCATTGCGGCAACCGCCGGGCGGAGCATTCCTGAAGACCCCAGAAGCCGCGCCGCACCGAGCCGCCTCCAGTCTTACCAATGTGAACGAAGATGAAGAGCGAGGGTGGCGACGGTGACTCGCCCAGCCGATGCCGTGCTGGGCGGGGTGGCATGTATGTGTACCTCGTACTGCGGCGGGCGCTGTGGCGGCGCCCCATTCTTTCTTTTGCGGATTGGTTTATTTATGCGCCGCGTAAATTTCTTTTTAGTTTGGATTTTCAATCGCTGCCGGTAGGGAGACCAGGGGCGCCGAGCCGAGAGACAAGACCGACAACAGAAGCCGCGTCGACCAACCGCCTCGTCCCCTCTTCATGCTGACGGCCGCAGGCACTCTCCTCGGTCTCATCGCGTGTGGCCAGTTCGGCACGATCCAAATTGATTGGGTGGCGGAGGGTAACGGCAAAACCACGCCACGGCTGGTCGGGCTGGAAAGTGGCAGCGAGGAGAGCGCGCAAAGAGACAGTGATGAGCGGAGCGGGCGGCGCTTGTTCAAGCTAGAAGACGGCAAATTCACAGAGATCGAGGTCGAGGAGCCGAGCGTCAGCGAGCGAGAGAAGAGGGACGCGGACGCGTTTGAGGAAGTCTGGTCGCGCGATTTTGCCGAGATGCCACAAAGCGAGTGGTTTGCTGCGAGCGAGACGCCGCGTGGGGAGTTGCCGCCGAGCGCGGCCCTGTGGGGGCTGCGAGTCGGTGCCGTATATAGGCACTCGCTGACGGGCTCGCGCGGAGTGGTGATTGGATGGGACTACCGGCCGCGAGCGCCGCGCAAGTGGCTCACCGCCAACCTGCCGGGGCAGCGGTCGGCACGCGACCGCCTGCGGCGGCTCTACGCGCCCCACTACTCTGTGCTGGAGGAGACGCCTGCCGGAGCCTTCATGCAGCGTTACGTGGTGGCGCTGTGCCGCGAGGACGACCCGAGACCGTGCCTCGAGGTTGAGTCGCCCGCCAAACCGCTGTCGCACCCCGAGCTCGCGAAATACTTTGACGGCCTCGACCTGGCGCGCGGCTACCTCCCGAACGCGGCGCTGCGGGAGCGGTATCCGCACGACGCCGCGCCCGGTCCGGCCGGGGGCCCAGCGCACCATCGCGGACGCCCGGGCGAGAGCGAGGCCGCCGAGGAGGAGTTGCCCGGCGATCGCTGGAGCATCAAGAGTGTCAACCCGCGAACTAAGAAGTGGACGGTGAACACCGGTGGTGGTGAGGAAGAGTTCGATGTCGCTTCTGTCTACAAGGGGCTGCGTGAACGGCTCGAGGTGGACACCCGAACCGACGAGGAGCAGGAGCGCGCGCGGCTGGAGTGGCTCATGTACTACATCCTGAGCGACGACTGGGACGGCGCGGCCAGCATGGCGGTCGGCGAGGATGAGTGGGAGTTTATCATGGAGGCCATGCGCTGAGGCCTGAGGGAGGGTGTAGCCTGGGTGTAGAGTGTAGAGCGCTGTGGTGCTGTGAGATGCATGGAGCGCTTGTAGAGAGTTGTACGATAGAGAGAGCTCCAGGAGAATTGCCAATCGATCGCGTGGACATACAGGTCATGCAAATAAAGGCTCCGCATGGGTACAATGGAGTACTTTTAGGGTAGACTCACCTACTCACCGCTGTCGTCATCGCTGGCACCCGACTCGCCATCGCTCGAACCGGACACTTCGCACTCTGGGCACGAATAACTGGTTGGGTAGTAGTCTAAGTTCTGAGCCTCGAGGCTGAACGGGTCTAAGTGTGGCTAGCCACGCTGGAGTGCTTGCGCGGTCTAAGATCAGCGGGAGCCTCTTACATCGGCTAAGTCGGCCGTGGCACGGCCTGGGGCCAGGAGGCTCCTCCACCGTGATCAACGATACGGCGCAGCCCCCAAATTTTCTTCGCCTGCGGCGGGCTATCGATCCTCTTCATGCTTAGCAATCGCCGCCTCAGCATCCTCCTCTTCCGACTTTCGTTGCTGCTCCTTCATTCTTGAGCGACGTCTAGCCAAACAGTTCTCACATGACACGAAGCTCCTCAAGCTTAATCAAACGTGTGACGGTGAAGGCGTGAAGCCTGTGTGTGCTGGTCCTCTTTGAACGATCCGCGCGTGAGGTAGCATAGGGCCTTGTTGGCAGCAGCCAGCTTGTTGCGCTGCTTCGTTGCGATGAGCTGATTGGGATCGCAGAAGTGCATGCCAAGCACCGCCACGATCTTGAAGCAGAACACATCGCAACCGCATCGTCCGCACTGCCATCGGCATGCCGCGCCCGCCGCTTCGCCGCAGCCGCCTTAAGGCACGCATAGCGGCAGCACATGGTACGGTGCGCGTACTTGAGCAGGCGTTGCGCGCCGTGAGTAGCGCACTGGCCCTGGGAGAAGGCGATATGGCGTCGTGCGCGGCATACGTTGGTCGGACGCGTCCAGGTATTTCGGGTAAACCTGGAGGCTTTTCAGGTATACCCGGGTTTTGCCCGGAGTGGCCTTATGTCGTCTAAGTTCATGGCCCCCGACCATACAGCGTCTAAGTCTGAGCCCGGCTCGGTGCGGGGGCTAAGTTGAGCGCTCGCTCGCTGCAGAGGCTAAGTGTAGAGCGACCCTCTAGCCCTACTACCCAACCATTCACGAATACACACACTCACCAAAAAACTCGGACCCACGAAGACAAGGAGCGCGCGCCAATGGCCGCCTCCGTGACACTCCCACCTCCTGGGCCGGCGCGGGAGTTTTACTGCCGAGTTTCTCCCGGCCGGCCGCCTCCTGACACGCCCACTGACCGAGCCCATCGAAAAAAATTCGGCGCGCCGCACTGCTCTGACCCCTGCTCGCCCCTGCTCGCCCCTGTCGCCTCGGTTGCCGAGGCTGCCGCGCACCCGCGCGCTACGCGACTACGAACTGCCGAGTGCCACCCGCCATCACCTACAGGCTGTCTTGTGTGATGGTTAGGATGTCCAAACGCCACCATCTTGTGGCTCTTGCGACCTCAAACCCGCGAGCTGTATGGGTGGTCCTGACGTCGACACCACGACAGACGCCCGAGGACCACGGGGTCGGGTGAAGCTGAGCCGGAACGCGTCGACAAGTCTCGTCTGAGCCCGTGGCGGTCGCCGGCTGAGTCGCTGTGCACGGGCCGGTACCTTACGGCTCTAGTGGCTCTAGAGGGTAGAGGCTCTAGGCGAAGGCGTCACCTCCGCAGCCTCAGATATAGAGGGAGCGGACCTGAGACGAGCGAGCGCGGTCGCTTTCGGTGGTTCGGCCGAGCATGGGTAGGACCGTGAGTTGACGGAAATCGGGGGACGCGACCCACTTCGCCACAGACGGTCCCGCGCCTCGCCGCTAAGACGGGTATACGACCGCGGCTCGTGTGCGTGTACCCGTCTTTGTCCGGAGTGAAAAGTCCAACGCGCTCGTCGGTGACGGTGTCCTCCAACCTGCGCCGCGCTCGGCGAACCTCGACAGCGCTTTCGGTGGCATGCAGCTCTTTGCGACAGAAGCCTGGAGAGCAGCTCCTCTGCTGCTCACACGCTCTGCACAGTTGGCACAGCCTACTGTGCGGCTGCCACAGCTGTCACAGCGATGGGCTCGCCCTCACTGGCCCTCAGTCACTTGTGCTGCGGCTTGTGTGAGCGACACTGCTCGCAGTGAAACCACCCCCTTCCCAACCGTCTCAGGGACGGACGCATTTGCCCCCTTTCAAAGGCGGTTTCGAAGTTGATGAGACCTCGCCCCCCCCTCTCCAATGAAAAGCGTAAAAAGAGGCGCGGAACAGGCCGGAAGCGCCGCTTGGACGTGGGTCACACAATGGCAGCGCTCCAGACGCGCTCTGGTAGCTGCCAATGAAGCTGCAGCCCATCGCGCACGCGCCGGACGGCCGCTGCACCTCCACTGCAGTGCCCTCCTGCACCGAGCGACGCGTCAAACCTTTGTTGCTGCCCATGACCGACGGCGGCTCCGAGCTCGAGCGAGCCCTGGCTGAGCTAAGCCACTGCGGTCGCAACGCAGCGCTGCGGTCGGTGCAGAGTGGCCGTGCGCGTACGGCGTCGTACGCGCACGGCCGCTCTGCCTCAGTGGCGTGCGGCTTGGGCCAACTGGAGGTCGCTCTCCTACCTCGCTCGCCGAGCTCACAACCCGGCGCGAGCCGCATTGAGTGGAAGTTCGACTTCAGCTGCCGCGAGTGGATGGACTGCCTTGTCGAGTGCAAGTAGTTGGGCTCCGCCGGGAGCACGTGGTGCAACATGTTCTCTGGGCGCCAGCAGACGCGAGCGCGCAAGCGCGTGTTGAACCGGACGCTCCATAGCAACAAGAGATACACTCGAAGGGGGGTACACGTTTTTTTATTCGGGTTTCGTGGGTTATAGTGCACTATGGACGACGAAACCGAAGACGGTTGGCCCCGGGGTGGTTTCACTGCGTCGGCGACTGCCGGCACACTGTGAGACCATGGGTGTGAGGTTAAACCACGCTACCAGCGCTTGGTCACATCAGCCCCGAGGTCAGATCCTTCTACTCTGTTGATGACAAGACTTGTCTACTGGCTAAAGCCGAGCAGGAGGGCCCAGCGCACAACCCCTGGTCAACTCAGGGTCCACCGCTCTCCACACCCCGTACTCCATCACCGGTCGCGGTCCTCCGCAAGGACGCCTTCGGTGGCACGCTCGCCCCGCTCGGCGGCGAGTTTGTGTCCGCTTTAGTAGCGCGCGCTAGCCTCTCGTCTACGGTCTAGGCTCTAGCGGCCACACCCACCACAGCGGGTGCATGCAGCGCGGCCAGCCAAGTGGCCAGCCACATTGCACATGTACCAGCCTTCTCGCGCACACATGGACACTCGACAATAAAGCGTAAGCGATTTGGCCCTCACGGCAGCTCCGTCAAATAAGAAGCGAGCGAGGCAAACTATGCCATCCAAGCTCACGCTCCAACGTCGTGTAGTCGCGTACAGCGAAGGAGGGAGGGGAGGGGAGTGAAGAGCCGGCCGCCAGCCACCCGCCGCCAACGGGCCGCCGCCAGCGGGCCGCCGCCTTCCGCCGCCGCCTTCCGCCTTCGTGCGCGCGCCACACCGCCGCGCCCGCCCGCTTAGGCCATGCGCCCCTCGAGGTACTTCCAGACGACCGTGAACATGGACGCCTGGTGGCAAACAAGGAGGGCGGCACAAGGCCCGCCCCTCAGGCGATCTCGAGGTCTCGAGGTACTTCCACACGACCGTGAACATGACGCGCGGCCTCGGTAGCCGGGCTGTAGCCGGCTGTAGCCGGGCTGTAGCCGAGCTGTAGC